AAGTGTAATCAGTCCATATAATCTCCTTTCTACTGATTTTCTGTAGCAGCAAACGTTGTTAAAGAGTAGGCATATTTAAAGTGTCAGGAGGCATGGTAGGGGTCATGTATTTGCCAAAGTCCCATTTAAGCCTTTCCTACAAAGCCCCACCCCTTTTTTTTTTTTACTAAGGTGTCATTGCAGGCATAGAGGATATGTGAGGTCAAATGCAGAAATTGGCATGGCTACCCCATATCAGTTATGAAAACCAATAAGCTGAGTGTAGCAACCATTTTCTAAGCATATTATGAATATTGTGTTTCTAATAGGATGCTACCATACTAGGTATTACTGTAATACAAGATACTGGTTTTGTAATACATCACAATGCAATATGAAAAAAAAACAGTAGAACAAGAGATCACAGGGTCTGCAGAGCTTCATTATATAAAATGCACTTCCACATTCCTCATACAGGCATTTTGGCATAATTAAACATAGAAATCCGTTTACGGCTGTACTTGTTATACCTGTCCTAGGCCTTGAGCCAAAGTGACTTGAAAGAAGATTATTCCAGACAGCTGTCACTTGGAAAGTAACACTGTGTCCCATTTCTGATTTGGCACTCCCTGCAACTACCATCACCTGCTATATAAATGCATTTCCTCTGTGGCAACATTGTCCATGTTTCAAAAATACATTAGCTAGAACTAAGGGACTTGCCATGATGATGAACAGATCACAGACAATGCTATGACTAATATGATCCTGTGAACATATTCAAGCATGATAGAGGTAGCTGGTTATTTTCAGGAACTTAGTTTTTGGTTTACATTTTCTTTGGGGTTATGCGGCCATGTGTCCCGGCTTTTCACAAGAGTTATCATAAAATGCTATGTATTAGGAAAGGCAGTTTTTAGGCCAGACAGGTTCACTTTGACAGTGAAAATTTGACAATAATACAAGTGCTGAAATACAGATGCATTATGGTGCCTACAGTTATGTGTGGTAGACATCAAATGTGCCCTGTGTACCTTTGAATCCTAGTCCCAAACTTTACATAAGGCTTCAACTTCTTTCTGAATTAAGATTACATCAAGTACTGCCTGGGCCTTTACTGCTTTTGAAGCTATGGCATTTGACTCAATGATGGGGGGTGGTACTCAAACAGACTCTTGCTAGCCAAACCCTAGCACATTCATCTTCACCATGCTCTTCCATTGCTCCATGGGTTGTCCTCCAATGATCCAGTTGCCAGGCCAGAACACTGTCTCATAAGGAGGAAGAAGACAACATCCATCTGGCGTAAGTTCTGATACCACTTTAACACAGAGCTTACATATAGTTTGGCTTCCGGCAGTGGAAGAGAACAGAAAAAGCAATTTGGTTGAGAAATGGGTTAACAGGAAACTGTTAGCTTTGCTTAAATGAACATTATAGACTTGGACAGACATTTAGGTCCTGTGTACATTCTGAGTAAAGGATTCAAGGGATGCAGGAACACTGTGATCTGTTCTGACATCCTGGTCACTTCCAAATAGCAATCAGAAACTTTTGTGCATCTCTTATTTAAAGCAGTTGTAACCCTCTGACATGAAATATAAACAAAGCATGTGCCACTATAGTGTGTACTTGTCTCAATTCAGAGCACTGAGTGCTATTTCTGTTTGCTGCCATGTTCTTCTGCTATTAGCTTGAACCACTTCTGGCAGGTTTTCCTGACAGCAAGAGGTAAAAAGTTGACAGGGCAGGGATCTCCAGCACATAGCCTGTGATTAACAGCCTCAGCTCTGCTCCTGTATGCTGTGTGAAGGGGGATGAGCCCCTTCCCTCCATTCAGCTCAGAGTGTAACTTCAGATCTCTGCCCCAGCTTTCTAAAAGCTCTGACAAGATTTATAAATTTTGGACTTTGAACAGCTGTACAGAAGAGAGGGGCCTATGCAGGAATCAAAATATACCATCTCAAATTATCATATGTGGAGGCATTTGTTTTGGCACAATAGTCAGCTTAACTTACCAGTTTTGAGATTGGTTCTAGGCCCGGAGGCTATAGATAAGCAGTCTGTGTAATTAGTACATTGTGCATTTACCTTACAGTTGAATAGGGTCCAGTATGCTTACTAAAGTGCTGTATTCCTTAATCAGCATCAAGCTGCGTTGATGCAGACTGAGCTCTACACGTGTCCATAGAACCTTTAGTGTATCTCTAGCCAAAACTATTTTATTTATTTTTGAATAAAATTGTGGAGGATTTGAACCTCTGCCAGGCCTTATTGCTTGTCTGTGACTCTTTTGGGGAGATTTTTCCTCACTTCTTGTATTTGCCCAGAAAGTAAGGGGACATCTCCAACAGGATCAGGGAAAGCATTGGGATTCATATCCAGCACCTCACCTTCATCTCTCCTTAGAAAACAATAGCCAGCAGGAGAGAGTCATCCTTCTAGTGTGCTAAACAGAAGAAATCTGACAGATTACTGCATCCACACAAAACAATACAAATTCATGAATCTCCCCTGCTGGCTATTTTATACTAAGGAGAGATGAAGATGAGACACGGCGTATGAATCCCTGATGTATAATTAGAGAAGTTCTTCTAAAGCCAAATGTCTTGTGTTCAGCAGAACAAAGAACAGAGGCCCCTCTCAACAGACACACGATTTGGGAAGTCCATGCTTATTTTAGCTAAAGAAGGTTCCAAACAAAAAGCCTCATAGTCCAAAGTGGGATTTTATTTATTCCACAGCTAACAGCACAAAAAAAAAAACATCAGGTAGCCAATATGTTTTAGGGTTCAGCGCCCCCTCTTCATCAGAGCTCTAAAATAAACTAGGACCCAGACTAAAGCTTCTGGAAAAAGTTCAAACCAGGAAAATAATTTTTAAAAAGGAGCCCGAGTCATCATATCTGCATTGTGGATGGAGTTAGACTTTAAAATAGATTTGGGATAAAGAGACAAATTTACGACAGCATTTCAAAATGTTGGCAGGCTTTAATACCCTAAAGTCAAGAATCAAAGCTACACCTTAGCACATTACTATTCATGTATTAAAGCTTCTCTTTTTTGCTTTACAATAACATTTTTACTGACTAAACAGCATGAAGCAAAGTTTAGTAAAGACAAATAAACTAGTGGGGTTCCTAGTAATGAATTCAGTTTATATTCTCTCCCAATGCCTGTGAAAGTCTCCTGCCTGCTCTGTACAAGTAAAGATGTCATCCTCAGATCTACAGCACGCATATTGTTCACTGTGATGTTTTGAAGAATGGCTACTTATTTAATTCTGTACAGTATAAAATAATAGATCGTTGTGTAGTTTCAACATTACCTGTATCACACAGACACAGTAAAATACCTAGCTGGGATTCCAAACATAGTTTCTTATGTACTGATTTTAATTTAGTTTTATTTGGTACTAATGTTGTCATTGGTATTTTATTGTGTCATTGTGTCTTGTTTCCATTTGCTGTTGTGATCTTGTGTTGTCGTCGTTGAATGTAACTACCCTAACAATTTCCTTTTGTGATCGATAAAGTATTCTGAATCTGAACTAACATGGTAAAAAAGATCTGCGAAAAATGACTTGCAGAAAGCTAAATATCTGATTGGCAGGTATGTGAATATGATAAAAAAGTTAGTTAAAAAAGACTGAAAAAGGCAAATGCCCAAGAAGTTCAACGTTTTCCTATAGCATAAGTAAATATGGCATATTTCTGTAGTCCACTTAAACTGAACTATTCTGAAAAAATACTTGTAAGTAAGCACTGTACGTGAAACATAATTTTTGTTACAAAAATAGTTTTCCCCTTAAATTCCTTGCACTGTACACATCCTGTATTCTTTGTAGGAAATTGCTGTGGATGTGTGCATGCTCCAGTGGCAATAGAACATAATTTTGTATGACAACATATTTGGTTTAAATGTTTGGGTTTAGATATACTTTAAAGCGGTATTAAACCAAAACACAAACATTTATTATACAGTATTTGCAGCTTACCCATTCTTAGATGTGATGGCTGCATTATTTTGCATTTTCAGGCTTTCTTTCTTCTATTTTCATCTGGTGATTCAGCCAGCAACTCTACTGTTTTTCATAAGTCCAAGCTTTCCAGCTGAATGTATCAGTTTACATTTTGTTGAAACCAGCCATTTACCACTGACTGGAGTGATTAAAATGACCAGCTTTTATTTATTCATATAAAACATTTATTCCACAAGATGTTGCTGCAACTGAATATAAAGTGTTAGCTGGCATTTGGCTTCAGTTTGCTATTGTATTAAAATCTGCTAATGTATTTAGCACTCCCATCCCCCCCCCCCCCCCCCCCCCCCAGACTGACAATGCTGGTGTCCTGTGCTCATTCCTCCAAGGTGGTGTCTTACTAATACAGGAGGTGTGTTACTGGTCAGATCACCAGGTGAAAACAGAGAAAAAAACAAAAGAAAAGATAACTGATACAGCCACCACATCTAATGATTGGTAAGCTGCAATATAATAACATTTTTGGATTCAATACCACTGTAAACGAAATGTGATTCTAGTTTAAATCCTGGAATAGATCAATTTTATAAGCCTTTCAGACTGTACATTTTCTTTATATTGATCACTAAAGAAGTATTGTGACACCGATCAGGAAGATAAGCCCGAGAACCACCGGAAAGTGGCGGGGGAGGGGTTTACCCCTCCCATGGCTTCTAAAAGTCATCCAGCAGCTAATCAGCTGTTCGGATCACTTTCAGCAGAAACAGCAGCGGCTGCTATAAATTTTAATATGGGGGTTATGGCATCCAGCTGCAGCTTCTCCTTGTGGGAACTAGAGTTGTATCTACATATACTGTGTCCATCAATAGAAACACACATCCCAATAGCCTTGGATGGCAAGGCATTCCACTATTCCTCTCTCCTTCCCTCCTTCTCCTAACAGGCTGACACAAGACTGCACTGTCCACTGTTAACTATTTCCTTTGAAGACTTGAAATTTAGGAGAGCAGCAATGAGAGAGTAGGAGCCAGCAGCAATGAAAGCCTATCAGTGCCCGTCAGTGCTGTCTATCAGTGCTACCTAACAGTGCCAGTCACTGCCACCTATCAGTGTCAGTCAGTGCTGCCCTATCAGTGCCGCCTATCAGTGCCATATATGAGTGCTGCCTTTCAGTGCCCATCAGTAATACCTGTCAATGCCCATCAGTTCCACCTACCATTGCCTCCTCATCAGTGCCCATCAGTGCCCACCTATCAGTGTCCATCAGTGCAGCCTATCAGTGCCCATCATTGCAGCCTCATTAGCGCACATCAGTGAAGGAAAAAAATCACTCATTTACAAAATTGTATAACAAAAACTAAGAAAAACTTTTTTTTTTTTTTCAAAATTTTCAGTTGTTTTTGGTTTGTTTAGCAATAAATAAAAAACCCAGAGGTGATTAAATACCACCAAAAGAAAGCTCTATCTGTCTCAAAAAAATGATAAAAATTTCATATGGGTACAATGTTGCATGACCGTGCAATTGTCATTCAAAGTGTGACAGTGCCGAAAGCTGGAAATTGGCCTGGGCAGGAAGGGGGTATAAGTGCCCTGTAGGCAAGTGGTTAAAGATAGTTTGCTTGGGATTCATTTTATTGTGCTCAATGTGTTAAACTAAGAAATTCAGAAGGTTTATTACTACTTTAATGATGCAGCTTCTTGAGTTATCCTATACAAATCTGGCAGTCATTTTCATATTAGGTTGACATTTCTGCATTAGGAAGAGGGAAAAACAGAATCCCAGGAGGGCAGCTGCCAATTTAACCTCACTGTGGATATATATAGGCTGACCCACTTCCTGACCCAGTCAAACACATTTGGATTAGTTTCCAGGGTTAATCAAGCCATTGATGAATTCAAAGAGTTATAGTTGGAAATCCTGTTTTGTTTTTAAGGAAAATAAGATTCTGGGATCTGATCCAAATTTAATTTTCTGCTCATCATCGTGGCGAGGAACACCAAAGTCTGATAACCTTTGAACGAGGACTACAGGGGCAGTACAATTCAATAGAATAATCTCTCAGAGTATTCTTGAATAGGTAGAATTGCCCAAGAATCTTTTAAATGAAAGATTGTTGACTGATTAATCTTTCACTCCCATTGAAGTCAATGAAAGGGCAAGAGAAGAAATTAAAAAGTACATTTTTCTTTTCCATTAAATTGCAGCAAGTGTGTGATTATGGGATAAAATCACTAAGTTTTACCACCAAAATTTTCTTCTGTAGTAGCACATATTTAAGGTCATGGGATACAAACAAAAGATATCAATCTCATGAGATTTTAGCAGTGGGAATGTACCACTAAAAACCTACCTAGAATTACTGTAAACACAATTTTTTCAAAGTGCTTTCTCTTCCAATCTTTATGGATGTCCCTTTGCAGATTGTACAGTCCTAGAGGTGAAAGATTCATTAGAGTTGGAAGTCACGCACACTGCTTTTATAATAGATTCTTTTTATTAAATAAGGGCTATTGATTTGACATGTTGTAGAAAAATGTATATTCTTTTATTATCTTTTAGCATATCCCAAGGGCAAACAAAGATGGAATGATTACTAGTTGTAGTCAATAAATAACTATATCATTGGCATCCATTCCACCCCCTGGTCACATGACCTTTCTTTTCTTGCTTCAAGTGAATAAAAGAAGGGAAACAGATTAAATTCCCTCGCTAGTGTATCATGAATTGATGAGTGTAGCAGATATACTTGGAGTGACTGACATTATATCATGCAGATGATATCTGAACACCATAATTCTCTTGAAATTTCAGTCATTGTAAGTGAAATATAATTTGAAGCTTATTGAAAAATGTGACACAATAACCTGCTACACACACTGGGTTTTAATCTTTAGAAGGAAGAAGGCTTCCATTGTGTTGCAGCTGCCACAGCTGTTTTGGGCAGATAACAACAGTTTAGCATTATTATCTTATATAATGTATCACTGTAGTGGCTTCTCGCTGAAGACAAAAATGAGATTGTTTAAGAATGATACAACTGGCAAGCACCAAATAAAAGAAAGTCAGAGTGGTTTACGTTCGATCTAAATAAAAAAAAAAAATCTATGCTTTGTTCTTTGAAGAAATTGGCAAAGAGACCGAATAAAGTATTCTGTTGACTCTGTACATTAACAGTGCACCCAACTGCGAAGAAAACGAAACACCTGTTACCCGTTCCACACATGGGGCAGGCCTTTTGTTGGTTGAAATCACTAAGGCAAGTGGGGGTTCCAGGCCTCATGTAATGGACTGGCAATATAAGGCCAGGTTCCTCATCAGTGTACACATGTACATGCTATGTAAAGACATGCTAAAGTGAATGTAAAGCCAAAACTTTCCTCTTAGTTTTGGACAGAGTGGATAGGGCCTGCATTTTATTGCCAGCTCTGTTCACTGGTGAGATCATTTCTCTGTTTTCCCTGGTGACTATCATTTAATCTCATTTATACAGAGTTGTCATCAGGAAGAGGGGGAGAGATCATCCAATGTGTATTCCCGCACCTGTGACAAATGACTAAAGCAAAAACTGTATCCAGGGGTGAATGAGAAAAATCACTCGATTCCCCATCCACATTAAACAGGAGAAATCATTCCTGACGGCTTTTGTATTCTGAAAGCCAGCATTCATAACTGTCAGAATACCCCAGCAGTGGCTGCATCTGTTTGGATACAGCAGCCATTAAATTTTCTGCCCAGCCCTTTGATTTTTAGATCAAAGGGTGTCAGGTAGGAGGATGCCAACAGGGTCACCTATGGTTCAAATTTCGGCTACCTAATCAAGAACCATTGAAATTCTGTGTATGGCTAGATTAAAAGGCCACAACATCATAATGGAGAGATTTCCTTTAACTTCTTGTTGGATCTATAGGACAGAATGTGAATGGATATCTTCCCAGTGGGACACAGATGATGAGAAATTGAGGGCAGTTGTTTTAACCATTCCTTACTCTATCCAAGATTTAAAAAATATTTCGGCCAGAGATATACCTTAGTGAGTATGAGTAAAAAATCTTAGTGAAAGCAAAAGAGATAAGGAGGGAAGACCAATACAAACACATTACTTTCTGTAAGTCAGTATGCATTGTCAGTAGTCAGCAGCCACTGTACAATTCAACCTAACATCACATATATAGGTATGATACATAATATCTACATTTAATTTTGGAAATGTATTGAACCATAGTGAACAGAATTGATTCTTGCCTGCACAGGGCTTGTCTTAAAGTTTTATAGTCACAGTGGATCTTGTAAGTAGCTGAACACTTATCTAGTGGTATTAAAACAAACACAACTGGACTTGCCAAGTATTCTTGAAAAATATTTAACTGGCCGTCCAAATGGCAACTTCAATTCATCTGAAGGGAGGGAATGCCCTGGGATTGAAACCCTTAGGAGGAGTCCATTCTCTATAATCCTATTAATTTAATGGAATACACATGAGACAGGTGTTAGTTAACCTAGAGTATGACAGTTGTTAACCTTGCACATTACTCAGGCAGGTGTTAACAGGAGTTAAATAGCTGGAGGTGTGAAATTCTGGATACTTCAAGGAAATACAAGCTCACCATTCCAAAATGTTTCAAACCAGTAGACTTTCTTTCATTAATGATTTTCATCATTTTACAGGAAGGAAGGGGAAGATGGGCAAGGAGCTATCAGCACAGGTTTAGATTATTTGTATTAGATGTGAAATTAATAACAAAGAATTTTTTGAACATGGTGAATTTTGCATTTTTATAGTAACAGGGTTTTTATATTAGCTGTGATTATATTATTTATGCCTTTATAAATCAAAGATGTGTGATTAAGTTGGGTATTTTTTGATTTAGAGTTATGTTTAAGGTTTACAATAAGTGAACTTTGTGAGGTCTGATTCTTTACAAGGTCTGCAGTAGCAGCTTCCATTCCGATCTTGAAAGATTCCTGGGCATCTTCACAGGCAAAGCAGCAGGTTTATTTAAAGTGGTTTTAATTTCAATTAAAAAAAGAAAACGTTATACACACTGTGCAATAGTTTTGCAAAGAGAAGCCCCGATCCTCCTCTTCTCGGGGTCCCACACCAGCACTCCTGGCCCCTCCCCCCCCTATCCAAGTGCCCCCATAGGATGCTGCCATGGAGCATTCAGGCGTGCATCCTCGCTCCCAAGCCCCACTCTCTGTATCAACTGACATGCAGAGCTTGGCTCGGCCTTGCCCCTGCTCCCTCCTCAGTGGCTTTTATGGACAGCAGCAGGAGCCTATGAATGCTGTGTATGTGCCAATGAGGAGGGAGAGAGCTCAGAGAGACTCTGCTCTCATGTACATCGCTGGATTGAGATAAGGTAAGTATAAGGGGGAGCTTCATACTGAAGGTTTTTTAACTTAATGCATAGAATACATAGAATTACATAAGAAACCTTCAGCCTTTAGAACTACTTTCATTTTCCCTCCTCAGAAGTACATGTTTTCTGTCCCTTTGCTCCCCCTTTGCTCTGTTCAGCTTCCAGGAGCTGAGGGCACAGGGCTGAGGACTCCCTTCCTGCCCTCACGTGACAGCGCTGGGCCAATAAGGATAAACTTAAGTCTATATTTGGACAGAGACGTTAAAGCAGATCTTCACTCCCTTTTTCCTCTTTAAAGATTATTGCTCCTCCCCCTTCCTTGCTTGAAATTGTAGGTACCATTTTTTTTTTAATACCTTTTTTATGTAGTGCAGCTCATGCTTCTGCCTTTCTCACCTAGGTGAGGATGACATCCCTCCTGCCAGAGGCCTCCTGGGATACTCACATCCCACATCCCAGGACGCGTCAGGGCAAACTATACCTCACTGCACATGCGCTGGGCAGTGTACAGCCCATTGCATGTGTGCCACGGTTCATTATTAGGGGGCCAACTGTAAGAACAAACAGCCCCCTGATGATGTAAGAAGAGAAGGTGGGTTCCAGGGTGCAGAAGGAGAAAGGTGGATTACACCAGACAGTACAGGGTTCCTTAGGAATGTGGGGGCATTTTGAGGATAACCTAGTGGACAAGGTAAAAGGGAAAGAAAAAAAAACATACAGGGAGAGTAAAGTTTCTCTTGGAATGGAGATCCTCTAGCCAATGTATTTCAACAACAGTTTTCTATAAGATTATCTGTGCATTTGTAAACCATTTGTATGCATGGTATTTATCTTTAAAACCCTCCCTTGTGTAGACATGGCAAACGGCACTACCATCTTGGATGTGATGTCAGCAGCCCCAGAAGACTCTGAGTTGTCACTCACATTGTAGTCTGTAGTATTCTTCTTAACTGTTCCCTCAGCATCTACATAAAAATGTATGTACGGAGAGGATGGGATGGAGGAGTTGGGCCAGTACAAAGAGTA